TTTACAATATCCTAATGATTTTTGGCATAAAAGAAAAATGTATAATTTTGACCCATACAATGTATTGCTGGCTATTGCTACAAATATACCCCAGCGACTTATGACTGCTTTTGTGCTCCAGGCTCACATATATATATACATGTGTGTTACACAAATGGAGTTCAGGAGGAGCATGTTGATCTCATCCAACCAATCACAACACTAGCCTGGAGTCTTGAGTTCCAGCTTTACAATACAGCCAGCCAGTCAAATATGTTCACCCTCACCTCTATTCATACTGAATTCACATGCCAACTCCTGAATATTAGTTATAATCATACTAGAATGAAATAATTTTGCTCTTTTGTCTTTTTGACTATTAATTCACAGCTTCTGTCTATCTGTGCTAAATGTGTTTGTAACACTTCTGCTCTGCTGCTGCAAGATTCATGCACTGGTTACTGAAATGCTTGCTACTAATGCTAATAATAACTATTATATTGTTGACTAGTTAATCATAATGCATCCCGCCTGCCATCCCAACTGGACCAGCACTATAGGATTAAGCTTCCGGGATAAACTGTTAGAAAACAGGTTCGTGATACGTGAAATGATGAAAACGGCCATTTGAGATGAATGAAAGGGTTAACGAGAACAATATCTGTTACATTTGTGACATTTGCAGCCCCTAGAGGGAGCTCTCACTTCAGTGCTGAGATGAAAATAATGTTCATGTTCATAATAGAAGCTCCATTTTCTTGCCAGCTTCTTCTATAGTGTCACCATTTTCTTCCTTTGCATACTATTGTTTATTTAGATCGGTCTGGATTGTGTTTGTGAATTTGAATTGTTTTACTTTCACTTGATTTGGCCTTGTACTTTGCTTTTTTTACTCAATAAATATCCATCAAATGGATCCCAACCCTGGAGTTTGTCAGATTTGGTCCTTCACACACACTACTCACTTTTGCAGTTCATATCCCCCGTCGTTCAAACACTTTATCCTCTGGGATGTCTGGAGCTCCTCCTGAGAAACACAGACAAGAGAACAAGTGTATGAACAATAAAATCATTTCCACAGCCAGGGTCAGGAATTAAGCTAGCTCTGTTACGGCTGTCACAATCAAAGTGAATGAAACGAGTCGATTGTGGCACTGCATTTACAGTAGATCTGCTCATGCTGCATGATGAGTTCTTTCTACACGCAGTTTGCAGTCTTTGAGTATTATAACCAATCACACACGCTTCTGTCGAGCTTATGAATGCAATGACCAATGCAACGTTTTGATCCGTTGCAATGGAGAACGCTGCTCAATTCCCTCATCATCATAAATGACAAAATGCAGAAAAGATGTAAGTAAGAGACTGATTTAGCAGCTTCAGTGATTATAATGGGAGTTTTGTGAAAATTAACTTACATTAGACTGAAGTCACGGAACGATTCAATGTTCTTTGCTCGCTTTTTTAACAATCTATTCCTTGTCTCAAACTGTTTTGTTTTCCATGCTACTGAAATAACCAGTGTGAAGTCTTGATTTCTAATCCGTAAAAAAAGCAATACATATATTCAGAAATGATTCTTAGCCTAAGCAATCGTTTTTTTCTGTAGCCAGAATATGATGTCCTTTTTCCCCATGAAAAACGTTTTATTATTAATCGACATTATTTCATGATATTGCAGATTCACCCTCTACTGAGTTGCTTTTTTTTTCCATTTATAGGCTATTATGTAATTTTTTGTGTAAATATGTGCACATGAACAGCATTAAACATTCTGTGTGAATAAACATAAATGCATTTAAGATGCAGCTTCTGTTACACCTTTGCATTGTAAAGAAGGCTTTTGTTGATGTTGAAGAAAATGTGATTGGTAACAGTATATAGAACTATGATTGATTAAATGTAAGTATTTGACATAAAAAAACAACAACACGCATTCAATATGGTATTTATAAAAATTGCCCTTACAAAGGTGAAAAGTGCCTCAGGAAATCAATTCCAGACACTGCCCTTTAATGGAAAGTTCATTTCTGACCCTGCCTATGTTGCTCAGGAACAACTCAAGAACATCCAAAACTAACCTTTTTTTCTAAAACACAGCACACCCTGTATTAAGAGACAGAACTAACAGAAGCATGTTAACATAAACAATACCAGACAAACACTGGAAACTGAGGGCTTAAATAGACAGACGCCAAAACAGACTCCACGTGACGGCTCAGATGAACTGCATTCTGCATTGTTTTCCCTCCTGAAGTAATGAAGTAATGAAGGGAATCAGTTAAGAGCACAAACATGCAAACACTGAACACTATTTGCGTGACAGAACTCTCCAGCTTGCCACAATCTGTCATACTTTACTGAGCCTAGAGCATCATTCAGACATGATCGCCTCAATGTGCTCTAGACTTCATCTCATGTTCACGACGTGCCATTTGGTAAATTACTGCTGTACACAAATATCTATTTTACACACTATAATTCTGTTTACCGCCTGACAGTAATAGCACACAGGCAAATAGTGCTGAGTTCTGTGAATAAGGCTCAATCTATAATGAGCCTAATATAAATGAGACGTGTTGTTTAAAAAAAAAAAAAAAATGGCAATGACTTTATTAAATGCTAATGGCACAACACTATTTCAGAGTATTAGCCTGGTAGCGCCTTGTTAAACCACACACAAAACTGCCAGAGCTGCTGAAAGAACTTGCTCCAATTCATTCACACACAGTTTAGAGGTTCTCATGTCTTTCTACACACTGTATGTCATCCTGTATTAAACACAGGAGAATATATTGATACTGATAAGAATCAAGATCCTCAGATGAAAATAAGAGGCTAAAATCAGTCAAATAACTGCTCTCTGCCAGTGAAATGTTTGATAGCGTGGCTGTGGAATGGGTTGTGTCTCTAATCCCCCACAACATGCAGCAGAGAGACGCCATCACACCACAAACTCCTCTTGTCTCATACCTGTGAACAGGAACTGATTTCATGTTTCTTGTCCTCTCATATCAGTCTCTCTGTGTGGATATCTGGGTGGCACTGAGGGGATGACAGTACAGCAGCTCCGTTCCAAACCCTAGTGAGCTGCCTAACTAGACAGCATCTGAACACATCATCCCAGCATGAAGCTCCTCCACACACCAACATTGTTATATTAAGCTTGCATAAATCTAATAAATAAATTAATATATAAAAACTAGTTTTATTCACCAAGGATGCATTAAATTATTAAAATATTTTTATTTAAAATAAATGCTGTTCTTTTGAACTTTCTATTCATCTGTGAATCCTGAAAAATAAAATGTATCACGGTTTCCACAAAAATATTGTGCAGCACAACTGTTTTCAACATTGATAATAATCAGAAATGTTTCTTGAGCAGTAAATCAGCATATTAGAATGATTTATGAAGATCATGTGACACTGAAGACTGGAGTAATGATGCTGAAAATACAGCTTTGATCACAGAAATAAATTACAGTTTCACAGATATTCACATAGAAAGCAGCTGTTTTGAATTGTAATAATATTCCACAGTATTACAGTATTAGTGTGTGTGTGTGTGTGTGTGTGTGTGTGTGTGTGTGTGTGTGTGAGTGTGTGTGTGTGGCTGTATGATATTAAACTGGACACCAGTCAGTGACACATACAGAGACAGAGAGAGAAAGGGTCAAAGAGATGAAGAACAACAGCAGTACAAACTAGATTTTACCTTTGGATTTACGTGCAGTTTTGATGTTCTGAAGACAATACAAGTGCAATACAAATAAAGCATTAAAATGATTAACACATTTAATGCAGCTGCCCCGTCCAGACCTGTCTGTCATCTTATATTGACTGTGTTTACATGTGCAGCAATAAGTGAGATGGCGCCGACGGTGATGGCTGCCTCCATGGCGTGCTCCGCAGTTGTTTTTATGTTTTTGTTAGTTTGTCCTGTCTTTAGTTATATCCCTGCAATCAGTTTCGGAAGTACACACCACCCGATATTTCACCGGTTTTCGATTATTCTGATGTTTTGCTGGACATTGTAATCGGGGGAGCTGCGGCGCTGATCAAGCGCTTCAGGATGCGCAGACGGGGGAAGCGAGGTGGCGCCCTCGTGAAGCTCAGGCAGCGTGGATTCAGGACGCCGTTGCCTAGCATCCATCTGGCGAACCTCCGCTCTCTACCCAACAAAACGGACGAGCTCCTTCTGCTCCCCCGGACAAATAAGGATTTTTCAAGCTCTGCTGCTCTGTGTTTCACGGAAACCTGGCTGAAAGACGCCATTCCGGACAGCGCGTTGAGTCTCCCGGGCTTTCAGCTGTTCAGAGTGGATCGTGACGCAGAATCAACGGGGAAATCACGCGGCGGCGGGACATGCTTTTACATCAATGAGAGGTAGTGTACAGAGGTGTTAAAGAAGATGTGCTGTTCAGATCTAGAAGCGCTTTTCATTAACTGTAAGCCTTTCTACTCGCCGCGGGAGTTTTGCTCATTCATTCTCGTCAGTATTTACATTCCTCCACAAGCACCTGGGTTAGTTTGGTCTGGAGGAGTGTTGGGATGATGGTGTTGAAAGCGGAGCTAAAGTCCACAAACAGGATCCTCACATAAGTCCCTGTTTTGTCTAGATGTTGCAGGATGAAGTGCAGTCCCATGTTGACTGCATCATCCACGGACCTGTTTGCTCGGTAAGCAAACTGCAGGGGGTCTAGTAAAGGTCCAGTAATGTCTTTCAGATAAGCCAACACCAACCCCTGAAATGTCTTCATGACCACAGACGTTAGGGCCACAGGTCTGTAGTCAGATAATGTGATTATTTACAATAATCAGAGTAAGGACTTAATTGCAGTAAGTTGTTTACATGACATGAGCAAACCTCTTCACTCCAGTTCACATGCAATTTTCATTATTCTGATTATTTGTTAAAAAATTTGGTTATTTTTACCATCATTATTCACAAACACTACAACACAAATGATGAGCTCACATATTTAAGCGTGGCCGTTGTCCACTTACATCAAATGCAAAACATGACTACAGACATATTGGAAGGTTATTTGGCACTGTGATGAACATTGCAACTTCACAATCTCACAAAGTTCCGTTATCATCAATGAATCTCTCTACAACTTAATTGCAATATTTTGATCAAAGTATTGCATTTACATGAGGTGAAGTTTAATTGCAATATTGCCAAAATCCCATTATAATCGCATTATGAGGTATGTCACTGCTTTTGCACTGATTGATGCAGTGTCTGATGAACATGATGCAGGGCGACTGTCTATTAGAATGCAGTAATATGAGTGTAAAATTCAAGATATGAGGGCAAAAAAAATTACCGTTTTATATTTATATCACATGATATAGTTTGCAAAAGTGCTGTTTTCCCCCCAATATCTGCACCACTGCAAATATGAGGTTTATTTTAACACTTAAGTTAATATTTTTGTTACATTTTAGAAACAATCTTGTCAATTTTCTCTGTTTTTGCTCAATTGTGCAAACAAAAACAGTTCAGTCGTAGTCACAGCAGAACTGTCTCTGATCAACACACCGCGGTGATTCATTACTGAATGAATACATGGTTTTGAATGAATCAAGTGAGTCAATGATTCAGTGTCTCATTCATAAAGACAGTCACTTGCTGCCACCTACTGGTGCTTTTAGTTGTTGATTTAGAGAATCATTTAAATTTTTGCGAAAAATCATTGCATATTTCAATATTAATTTTTTAACCTATTAATGCATATTTAAACCCCATTAATCGTATAGTATTATTTATGTAATTCCAGTCTGTGTAAATACACCTAAATGCCACTTTAGATGCAGCTTCTGAAAACAATGTCATGCCACATTGTAGCCTTAAAAGATTGTTACAAATTCAATGTTGCAACTAAATATTTATTTCTAACGCTTAATTTTGTTATGTCTATTCACTGCTTTTGTAATTTAACACAATAATTACTTTATATTATCTTTTGGGGGGGTAATTTCTCAGCCCATATTGATGTGTGATTAATTTGTTATTAATTAGATTAATTAATCTGCACATCATGTAATTAATTAGATAAAAAAGAATGCACAGTAAAATCATGCTTACCATCTGAGTGATCTAGAATTTGATGAAATCTTGTTTTCCTACACAGTATTTAAGAGAAGCCTTCTGTAACAAACAGAATTAAATCAGATTAATGGTAAGGTTTGTGTTTGTTCATGTGTTTCCTGCAGCTCGCAGCACAAAAACACGAGCAGCTGGCTTAAATCATTTAATAAATGCTGTTAACAACAGCCAAGAGCAGCGCTAAACAAACATCAGTCAACACATGAGGACAGACGCTCAGTCATCCCTAACCAGCCAACATTACCTACTGACAGAGACTCACGTTAATCTGCTCTTCTGATTGTTAGGCCTCTGATCAGAGTGACTTCACTGTATGGCAAATACTGAGCTAATGAATATTCATTAACCTGCAGTGACACTGCTATTGATTAATATTCACTAGACAAGCTTGATACAATTCATAAACGTATAAATCCGAGATTCTCTGTTATTTTACATTACAGTCCTACTTTTGATATATTCATGCAAATTTTGCCAAATTCCGTGGAATTCCACATTATACAGTAAATTCCATTTTTATGACTGGATTCCAGAATTCCATCTGTGTTTTTCGCTGAAATCATATGGCCCTAACACACGCACAAGAAAAAATTCTCTGTGTGTGCTTGATGTTTATATGCATGAAACACATGAAAGTGGATCTAAGACAGCTGTGTGAGAGTGTGAGCCGTTCACTCAGAAAGTATTTGAGCGTTTAGCAGAAACACAGCAGAGATCCAGCATTCTGCCAATATTAGCCACAAAACCTGCTGAGGCCACAGCCAGACACGCTAACGGTCCAGTAACTCTGAAACAACATCACAGTGAAGCAGCGGAGCCACAAACCATTAAAACAAAGAGTCAGACTTTAACAGCTGTCCTGAGAGATCTAAGCCTGAAACGCTGCAGTGACCCGATGGGATGCAGTGTGTGTGTGTGTGTGTGTGTCTGTGTGTGTGTGTGTGTGTGTGGGGGTCATTGGAAAGAGGAGCAGTGTTTGCTCACGTCTGTCATGAGGCCAACACCACTAGACAAAAAAGGGAAAAGCAAACGCTAATACTTTTTTCGTATACTGTTAACTTTAAGATTTTTGTGTAATAATTTATTAGTCAGAACTGCTAAACAGAGACAGTACACTAATTTAGAGGCAGAACTGGTATTCTTGGCATTGTCAAAATAAAAATGCTTCCTATATATCATCCAAACAGGAAAATGTATTGGCCAAAAATTCCAAATATCAGCTGATATATCTGCCTTGTCAATATACTGTATATCGGTCGACCGCTACAGCATGACCTCTCACTGACAGCAGGAGCATCTGGGTGGAGACAGAGAGGTGATGTGTGTACTTACTCTGTATGTGTGTGTGAGATAGAGAGAGACTGGTGTTCACCTAACCAGAACTGCCTCTGTGCAAAACATTTCTCACATCAGTTAAACTCCAAGCTTTTTTCAGTGAATGCATCTAGCTTTAAGAACATTTACATATATTATTGGAAAACAAGGAAAAGATAGTGCTGAAGAATGTGTTGTGTTCTTTTGCTTTGTGTGTTGTAGTGTGCTCCAGCCATATGATGCTGATATAAAGACATTAACAGTGCTGCAGCAGGGACGGCGCTTTACTGAACAACTGACTGATCACAGTCACACAATGCAACACAAGCTCATGCGATTTCAGAGGACTGTATTGTTAAATGAGTTTTAATTTAAGCCAGAAACATTAAGTATAACACAACCATTTATTAAAACAACAAAAGTAATTTGTTTAAAACCTGAGTGGGGTTCAAACACGGTGTGCAAACTGGCCATTCAGATGATTTGATTGATTCTATCTATCCAAGAAAACCATTTTTCACCACAGTTAGTGTGACACTATAGATCATGACATACTCATAGATCGATTACAAAACTACACAGATATTCAAGGGCAGGCTTTAAGATGGTTTAGATCCTACCTGTCCGATCGCTACCACTTTGTTTATTTAAACGGGCAATCACCTCAATTAACGCCAGTAAAGTATGGAGTGCCACAAGGATCTGTCTTAGGCCCTCTACTATTTTCAATATACATGTTGCCCCTTGGTAATATTATTAGAAAATACGGGATTAGTTTCCACTGTTATGCTGCTGAAACTCAACTATATATTTCAACAAGACCAGATGAAACTTCTAAATTATCTAAGATCTATCTATCTATCTATCTATCTATCTTAAAAATGTAAAATATTGGATGACCAATGATTTTCTCCTATTGAATTCGGATTAGACAGAGATATTACTTATTGGACTAAAAAACAGTACACAGAATCTCTTAGATTACAATTTGCATCTAGAGGGATGTACTGTTACTTCCTCTACAGTCAAAAACTTGAGTGTTATCTTAGACAGCAACTTGTCTTTTGAAAATCATATTTCCCATGTTACAAAAACAGCATTCTTCCATCTTAGAAAAATCGCCAAGCTATGAAACATGTTACCTGTTTCTGATGCAGAAAAGGTAGTTCATGCATTAATTTTTACAATCTCTACACTGGCTACCTATTACGTTTGTATCAGTTACAAAATATTACTACTTATAAGGCCATAAATGGGTTAGCTCCTGCGTACCTAACTAGCCTTCTACCATGCTACAATCCATCATGCTCCCTAAGGTCGCAAAACTCTGGACTTTCGGTAGTACCTAGGATAGCAAAGTCCACTAAAGGAGGTAGAGCTTTTTCGCATTTGGCTCCTAAACTCTGGAATAGTCTTCCTGATAACGTTCGGGGTTCAGACACACTCTCTCTGTTTAAACCTAGATTAAAGACACATCTCTTTAACCAAGCATTCACATAATGTAGCTCATAACCCTGTACTTCAGTTACATCTGATCAAATGCACATTATTATTCTTTGCTTGGTCTGAACAGCAGCTACACTAATTTTCTCTATTTGCTTCTCTATTTGGGCATCCTGAGGTAACTAGGAATTACACAAGCTTCAGTCTGGATTCAACACTTACAAAGATCTGAGATGACTGAACACCTGAGAAGAGATGATGCCAACCCCTCCGAGGACCTCAGATGACGACAACCCTGAACCAACACACAAAACTACAGAATTTTCCTATAAATCTGATCACATATAATCATTGCTGTTAATAGTGTTCACCGTTTGTTTGAATGCATGTCATTAACTAACTGCATGATTTTTATTGTACATTTCTGCCATATATCACTTTGACATAGTCACCACTTATATACTACTCCTAAATGTAATGTAGAAACTTTCATTTTCTGTAAAACTGCTTTGCAATGATTTGTATCGTGAAAAGTGCTATACAAATAAATGTGAATTGAATTGAACATTCATTCCACACCTGTGAGAAAGGTGTCAGGAGCAGAGCACAGTCTTGAGTTCTGCCTTTATCCATCTCACGGAGGCCTTTCATACAGTCACTGGAATGGTCAGAGGCAGATCTGCTCAGTCTGAGCTCTAAAACATGTCCCAGGTGAAAAAGAAATACATTTAAATTGTGCTTTTTCAGACATACTTACTATATTTAAATTATACTATACTAAGTGCGTATTAAATGTATTATTTTGAAACAACTTTAAGTATATTAAGTGTATTATATTTTTAATACATTTAATACTACGTCTTTTTCACCTGGGGTAGCTCCCATCAAATCAGGTCAGACACACCGAGAAAGCTCAAAGAAAGCCTTTCAGATGGTTCTCAGATTCACACAGGGGTGAAATAAGGTTGATTTCTCACTCAAGCCCTTTCTGCCATCTTCAGCATTATGCTAAACAATGCAAAGGTCAACAGATGATGCACTTTAAAGAGGTTCAGATCTGATGGGGGTCTGTTCATCCTGATCTCTGAAAGCCATGTTGATGATGATGATGATGATGTGTGTGTGTGTGCGTGTCTGAACTCCAACAGCTCACTGTGAAGAACTAGCAGTGTGATTGATCAGGCATGTCATTGTTTGCCTTCATTAATGAGACAGTGATGATTTTCTCACTTTACATTCTCCATGAGGCATTGCACACGCTGAACCTCCCAGACACGGTTAGTAAGCTTTAATCACTCGCTCTGTAATACTGTCAGACGAAGTCTTTGTTGTTTTAAATAATGTATGCATATATGACATTTGACATAACAGCCTGTTTTTCATTTGGCTCATGAAAGCATCCCTAAAATACACCTCACTGTATTTTGACATTCACATGATTTCAAACATGAAGCCACTGTAACGTCACACGTGTAGATGACAGCACTTCTCTAGATCTTGAATGAGAAGAATATTACACTGTAAAAAGTGCTAACCTGCAGGTGTTAAGAGCTACTTTCTACCGATACGAATTTGTTTTGTGTAAATCCTAATGTTAATTTAAACTGTAATGAAACAGTGAATGTTGAGTTTCAGTCTGCTGAGAGGCCAAAAACAAACATGATCTCACATGTCAAGCCTGTTTTCTTTGTTATTCTCTGTCTAATCAGCTTCTCTGACGGTTAGAGACAGTGAATATGAATATAGATTGGGTGAGCTTGTTTATTGCAGTAGAGAGTGATCCCAGTGTTTCAATAATGTGCGATATGCAGATCTGCCTGATGTTTCTGACAGCACTGGACCGTTCGCAATCACACAGTGAAGGTTATCTCCTCTGCACTCACAAAACACTGAGCCTGTGTTCCATCACCCTGTTTCTATCCACACGAATGGAAAATGAGATCAAAATGATTTCCCAAATGCCTTCATTTATTTTGTGCAGAACTGGGGCACTCTGTTATTTAAAGGTTACCACTGCACATTCAAGATCTCTTTCTTGATGTAAAATTACAAGCATAATTAGAATTGACAATAAGCATTGATTTCCCAGTGCAGTAATATTTCAAACAGAACACATCTGAACACAGACAAACCTCTAGATGTTTCACTAACCTGACGTGCACTATGAGCAGGGGTGTAGAAATACTCGAAAACTATACGACAGCATGGATACTGAGTGAAACCTTTACTCAATTAAAAGTCCAAGTATGCAACCAAAAACATACTTTAGTGAAAGTAAAATACAGCTATAAAATATATGTATTAAAAGCAGAAGTAACATAGCAAAACAAGAGAAAGGAGATTTTCATTTCAGCACCATGAATCATTTTCTCAATGCTAAGTGAATGAGTTGCATGTGTTTCGTTAGACAAATGCTGTTCACATTCATTTGTACATCACAATAAATAAGCAACATTTCAAAAGCCCTGATTTCCCCCACTGAATCAAGATCATTTCCAGCATTGTGTGTTAATTGTGTTAGTCTAGAGGTTGAGTTGCAAGGTTACATGTATTCAGATATAATGTTTTCAAATAGCCCAAGCAAAACTGCACCTGAACTTGACAGCCAGAGATCAGCATGTGCTACTCTTTACGAAGAAGAACAGCCTTGACATTTTGATGTCCTTTAAGCTTAAATGATCTGCAAACTGCTTGGACTGTGATGGGTGGTTGACGCCAAAGTGGTTCAGACAAACACATTTTCACCATAACTGCGCAATTACATTTTCAAAGATTACAAAGATTTAGAAGACACCTCTGTAAGTACTCATCAGACACTTGTGTCCATTCACAGACGTAGTGACACACTATTTATTTCCTCCTTTCACTTCTCCTGCATTCATTCTCTCCACCACTTTTCTCTCCCCTCACCCAGCTCTTGGATTTAATGGTTTTTTATACACACTCACATCAAAAATCCATAAGAGGTGCAATAAAGCCGTTGTTATCTAGCTTAACCCCTAAAGTAATGACTTAACACTATCAAAGTTTCCCTCCAAAACACATAACAAACAAACTTTGCAAATTCAAAGCGTCATGCATCCCAGCATCAGTAGACTGTTAGGTTAGGGTTAGTAGAATAAGTTGACATGTAGTTGCAAAGTTACTTATAGTCAGTAGAATCTCCATCAAAATAAAGTGTTAGCAGATATTAAGTCTACTAATACTCTAATGAGAGTTAGTTGACACGTAGTTGCAAAGTTACTTATAGTTAGTAGAATGTACTGGACACCAGCAAGGATTGGGCTTGCACGACTACTAACTAGTCAAGATGCTATCATCTTAATGCTTCCATTGATTTAATACGCAGCACAGGTTCTGTGGTCTTTACTCTTTCTGGCAAGTCCAGCGCTGTGTTGATGGAGAATGTGTGAGTGGAGAGAATTTTGTTGAGCTAAGATGATAAAATCACACATATCTCCACTGACAGGTTCATACTGCTTACCTTTCCATATGAAACATCCAAAAACAGTCTTGTTAACAGTCTACTTATAGTTTCTGTCAGACTCTGGATGATTGTTTCAGGGCCATTTGTGAGAATTTTGGCTTGTATGTGAATGCCTCAAACCATCTCAGATGTTATGCAGCAAGGTTTAAGTACAGTATAATGTGCTTTGTGAACACAAAGTGCTCAAGGATCACTTTATTTTCACTTTCTCAAAATTCCAATGATATACAATAAGGCTGTTACAGGTCAATATATAAAATTAATGCAAGCATCCAAACTGGGACGCAGTTTGTGGAAAGAGAACTTTGTTGGTCTTGGTCTCTGGGTTTAAGTACTCTTATTTTGCACTGTATCGATATTGTTTCTGTGCTTTCTTCCTCTTTCAGTTCCCTGTGCTACCCTGTGTGTTGCCATAGCTTCCCTCGTTTGTTGTCATAGTAATTAATTAGCTCCGCCCTCCTTGTTAACCTTGTTATCATGTGTATATATACCCCTGTGTTTGCCTTGTTCATAGGAATGGGCAAATGAAGCCTCATGAAGCACTGAGGCTTTCCCCTGATTGTTCCTGGAAAAGATTCAAAGCTTCGAGAGTGTCGAAAACAATGCCATCTGGTGGTTAGTAAAAAATAAAGCTTCAAAGAAGCTTCGTAGGAAGAAGCAGGCACCACACATTCAATAGTTTCATGTTATGTGCACGAATAAAAGCCTAACAGTGTGATTGTGTGTGTATGTTGAATTTGTTGAATTTCTATGCTATATTCATTTACCCATTAAACTGTGGCATTTAATGCCAGTATGAATATCACAGTATTACTTTCACAGTAGTTTCACAGTTGTAATTCTCTTGTATCTAACTGCACTCTCAGACATTTCTTGTAAACAAACAGCATCATACTGTGTTTCTACAGTGCAGATGTACTATAAAGGTTCCCAGCATGCAATGCAGCATGAATAGATCATGCTGTAGAGTTTTTTTTATCCTTGTTGGTTTAATTTGTGTTATTGAACTTGATTTTGGTTCATTTTTAGCAGTTTGTGTTGTTGGTTTATTCTGTAATGTTGGTTTATGTTGTAGTGTTGGCTTTATTTGTTGAGTGTTACCATTGGTGTGTTTTGTATGTTGAGGATTGATGTCACATCTTTCAAAGACATTTCTCAGCAGTTGCTTCACTATTGTGAAAGATCCATCCACAAACAGTTATGAATATGAAATAAGTTATTAATTAATCTTCATCCTTAAATAATGCTAAACTAAAATCTTCATGTTCATGTTAAGAATAGTTTGACTATCTTAAAGTCAATTTGCTTATTTCATATTCTAGCTTGTCATCATTTTGACAAATGTTTTCATTTGTCACACTTCCAATTTGACTAGATAAGCAATTTGAATATGAATAAACAAGGTCAAAGAGCCCAAACAAATCACTGATCACCATTATGGAGACTTCAAAACAATTACAGCAGTACACACCTAAATTTCTCACAGTGGCACAGTTAAAGACAACTTTCTAATGTGAATTCACAGTAAAACAAGAGCAGTTAATGACTGTGATGTTAGCCTCATTCTGCTGTTCATTCACAGTCATTTGTAAGAAAATGACCCAGCATGCATTGATTTCACAGCAAATTTCTGACTACAGTAATATATTGTAAAATCATACTCGTTAATCCTGTAAATTCCTGGCAGTTTTTTACACTGTAGTTTGTTCCAGCTCTGTTTCTTTGTGTACCCAAATTATTTTTTGACTCTGCTTGCATTTGGATCCATCTCATCTCACCTTAGTAACCAGCATTACACTAGCACAACTAAAGTTATGTAATCCTTGAATAGACAGACCCAAAGTGTCACTGCAGTGGAATTGTTCCTTCACCTTGTCTTTCTTGTCTAAGCACAAAAGGAAGGCTATCACACCAAATCAGGCTGTCAAGCAGCACTGCTGTCAGTACTTTCAGTTTGTTTCTGAAACACTGTGGCTAGCAGAGGGGACATCTGTCCTCAGTCTGCTGGAACTGTCCACGGCCTTCAGTTCTCTGGACGCCACAGGAACTGCACTGCACTGGTTTGAGACCAAGAGGAACGGCGTCTAAACTAACGGGGTACCACAAGGTTCAGTGTTCGGTCCTCGACTCTTATACTCGCCTAGTGAAGATTGAGCACCTCGTCCTCTCAGCCAGCCAGCAATTCAAGGAATCATCACTTTCCAGCTAGGATTTGCAACAGTAATGCCATTCTTAAACTTTGTGTTGCAGTACTTCTCAAACTGTTTGCATTGTAGTCAAGACAGTCATAAAAAATCACAGTGCATGTGTACATCGCTACACTACTGACAGTGGATGAGGGAGTCATTTTAATGTGTCTTCTCAGTGAATTCTGTGCAATTGCACACTGTGTTCACCTGTGAAATTTCACTACTGTGGCTTATCTCAGTAGTGGAGGTATGACAACAAACTTTTCTAAAAGTGAGGGAACATGTTCCCCAGTTATAATTGTGTCACATCTTATTTCTGTTATTATGTCTAAACACTCTCATTGTGAAGTTTATTTGGTTTTGTGTTTTTTTGTGTTCATGTTTCCTGTGTTTGGTTTCTTTTTCCTCAGTTCCCTTGGTTACTAAAAAACCCTGGTTTGCTTCTACATTTACCGACTGAGCTCAGCTGTGTCTAGTTCTTTGTTATTCCCTGTGTATATATTGCCCTGTGTTTCTTCAGTTGTCAGTCATTGTCTTTGCATGATGTTTTTGTAAAGCTGTTGCGTTTTGTGGATTATTCAAAAATCCGCAACTAGATCCAAGCTTCAACTCTTCCCTGCTACAACCGCGACAAATGCTGATAGAACATATATTTTAGCACCAACCTAAATGCATTAGGTTACATCGACAAAACAAAAAGTAAGGGTTAGAAGGGAAAGTAAGGTAAAGATTGCAATTGACCACTTTTCACAGTGTGCCTGGATGATGGTGATGTGTGAGCTGTTGTGTGTGAGTTACTGATAGAGGCCTTGTCTATTCATAATGACATATGAGCAGCACCAGTATAAATATACTGTATGTCTGAAACACACCATACCAAGTTACCATCAATCAACTGACTTCATTTCAGTATATCTGCTTCTCTAGAAAACATCACAAAGCACTGTTTGCCAGTGTTGTGAAGTAGTGAAAGTATAGATGTTTTTTTTATGACTTTTTTTTTGGAGCTTGAGAAGCTCCAGTATGACATATGCAGATACTACTGCTATGTTTTCAAATGCATTAATCACTGCAACTATTCAGTGTGATCTACATCCTCACCTGCGGGAGCCCTGGAGGAGACCTGCAAAGTCAAATATCATCACAAACTCAAGCAACAATACAAAAGCCAGTTTTCCCTGCAGAATCCCACAGCAGGACCGAGAGACACGAGCTCATGCATTATTCAGCAGGAGGAGGTGTCTCTCAGCAGGTACTATACATATGCATGTGCTCGTGTTTGTTTTGGAAAGGTGTTCTTGTCAGTCTCTTTCCAAAATGTGCATCTTGAGATGGTAGGATAAACTAGTGAATGTAAATAATGTCTTCATGTGACATATAAACCTCTTTAACTGAAGACTCATGTAGAGTAACTAGTCAGTCTGGTCCAGTGACATGAACTCAATCCATAGACAGGTCTGGCTTCAAAAGCGGACTCAGTAGATTTAGCTTTTGACAGAATGTTCTGGTGACAGATGCGAGTGTGTCTCTAATAGAATTAGATACGCTGTCCCATCTACACTGCTGTATCTCTGGTGATAGTAACTACAGCAACTAAGGAAAGGTGAGCGAGTTCACAGATGAATTTAAACATAAGTCTTATTCTGAATCAGACCCTCTTCATGACACGAAATACACTGGTGTAAGTTGACATCCTGTGTTGGAAACCAAGACTTTAAACAGCAGTTTGATCAGTCGTGCATTCAATTATTATAGATGCTGAGTTTACAGTATGAGCTCGTATGAACTGAGATGTTAAAAAATCTGTGATTTTTGTGGCACACTGTAGATCCATTTATAATGAACTCATGAAGGCAAAATGGTGAAAAGCAAAAAAAGGTCAGTTTTAGGACCCAAGATGCACATTCTTCTTTAGAGACCCATATCAATATACATTTTCCCCTGAAATATTGATGTTGATTTAAAAAAATGTGGCTTCTCTCTCTCGGCCTGCAGTCAAAATGTGAGGCAGGCAGGTTTATGACTGAACTCTCTCTGGTGCTGTTCTCGCTTTATAAAACCAAAACCTGTTCAACATTCAGAGCTTCATCTGCACTGTAAAGAATTGCCAGGAATTTACAGAATTAAAGAGTATTGTTTTACAATAAATTACCGTAGTCAGAAATTTACTGTGAAATCAATGCATGCTGGGTCATTTTCTCACAAATGACTGTGAATGAACAGCAGAATGATGCAAACATCAGTCATTAACTGCTCTTGTTTTACTGTGAATCCACATTATAAAGTCTTTAACTGTGCCACTGTGAGAAATTTAGTTGTTTTCTGCTGTAATTGTTTTGAAGTCTCCATAATGGTGATTGGTGATTTGTTTGGGATCTCAGACCTTGTATATTCATATTCAAATTTCTGATCTAATCTAAGTGTGATAAATGAAAGCATTTGTTAAAATGATGACAAGCTAGAATATGAAATAAGCGAATTGCCTGACTTTAAGATAGTCGAACTATTCTTAGCATGAACGTGAAGATTTTAAGTATGAAGATTAATCAATAACTTATTTCATATTCATAACTGTTTGTGGATGGATCTTTCACGAGAGTGAAGCAACTGCTGAGAAACGTCTTTGAAAGATGTGACATCAATCCTTAACATCCAGTAGGACATCCGGGGATTTCCCGCCTACTCTTTTATGAATACTAAGGATTCGGACGTACTACTTCATTCGCCTACTGCTTTTTGCCTTCTATATAGTAGGGAAGTATGCGGTTTCAGACGCAGCCAGTCACTTGCTTTGTTTTCTGAATGAATCAGCTGTTTGAATGAATCAGTTGAATGAATCACTCATTAAGACACTGACTTGCCTCTAAGTACTGATGCTTTTAGTTTCATATTTAGAGAATAATTTCATTAAAAAAATAAAAATAAAAATCATATTTCAATATTCACCCATCAAAAAAGACCCATCAATAGTCATTTATTATCATTATGCAATGTTGTATCAAAATATGTCTTTCTAACTTTTTGTAATGTCTATTCAGTGGTTTTTCTCATTTAACACAATTATGGCTTAAATTATCTTTTGGGGGTAATTTCTCAGCCCAAATTGATGTGTGATTGATTTGCAGTTAATTCAATTGATTATTCAGCACATCACATAATTAATTAGATTCAAAATTTTAATTGCTTGACAGCCCTAAATATTAGCCACCAGACTAACTCGTACCTTTACTCTTTCTGTCTATTTTGACTGCTTTAATAGGTCAAGTTGCTCAGCAGCCTGAAGTCCAATGAAAGCAAACATAGTGTCATCTGTAGTTCACGTTCATATCTGCATCATAAACACAGCCATAGGGTCCAGCTCAAGCCCCGGAGACTCCACAACACATACTATACGCTTGTGTAACGGCTTCCTTTCTCCAGTGTTGCTGTGCAGTTTCTGCGGTTTTATGTTTGAAAGGCTGTTTTACAGGCTAGTATATCACTAGAATGAAATGTCAGTGGCCGTCTGAAGCTGTCGGGCAAAGCAACATTACTATCACTCTTTCAATTTCATGCATTCAATCTACTGTAGTGCTAAACATAAAGTTGAGCACTCTTTATACGGCGCAGGACATTACATATTGCCATGTCTGCTGATTATGAGCAGCTCTGGGTTTGATTTTTCATAAACCCACTCATAAAATGGCCAGTTCTGGTGTTATCTTCTTTATTTCTTTTTTGTCCGAATACTCTCAGTTCACAGTTGACAGTGTTAACACATGTGTTCACATGCTTGTGGCTAATGCTAGCTTATGTCTCTTCAATTTGGTAGCATAACAATTCTAAATTTTGATTCTTAATGTTGCACATGTGTGATCTGTTGCATTTATAGCAGCAACTTGAACTTTTAAAAGGATGAGATCAGAAGTTATTAGCAGATTCATATATATCCCCCTCTTTTGTGTAGTATATCAGAGTATTAGAGTTTTAGCCCTAAAATGCACAAATTTCCTGATCCATATGAAAAAAATATGCAATATGCATGTGCCTCACTGCCTCCCTGAGCCACTTCAGATGAGCCTGTGTGTGTGTGTGTGTGTGTGTGTCTGTGTGTGTGTGTGTGTGTGTGTGTGTGTCTGCCTGTCTGTGTGTGTCTTTACAGTACCTAGCAGTCTAAACTTGCAGAATCTACACTGAATTTTGACTTATTTTTTTATTATTATTTATTTATTAATTTATTTTACATTTCTTTTGTTGTGATTGCATCATGCATCACTATTACACTCACATCTAGGAGTAATGATGCACTGAAACCTCAGACAGTAAAGGTGCGGTCACATTAGCGAAATTTCAATGAAATTTTGCTCGCTAAAAAGGTCTGTTATTCATTGTCAGTAGCGTAGAGATGTATGAAGCAGAGCTCACAAAAATCACATTCAAACCATGCAGCTTTCTGTTGGTTCAGTGCAGCATATTTGTAACCACCCTTAAAACTTTTCGCATAAGTATCCACTCCATGTGTCGCAGCTCTTAGATGAAACATATCAATAACGCAACTTTCTCTCTTTCTCAACATTTTCTGAACCTCATGATCATTATTCAGTTTGTGAACACCAGACCAAAGAGCTTTCTCAAACAAATGCATAATTTAAATGCAATATAACTGGAAAAAAAGACACTAACTAGAGATGACTGTCTGTGTGAAGAGCAACAATCAGTGTGAAGGATCTCCAGAGGACAATGAGAACCAGAACGTCCTATTAAAGCATTGATCTGCATGCTATACCAGCTTCAGAACCAAACATGCGTCCTCATAACTCTTTTCTCCTAGACTTCACCTTGTGTTTATCACAGATAAGCAGCCACATTTAAATGAATTCTGACCTGAAACCTGCCAAACAAAATTAATCTCCAATTTATTTGTTTACCTCATTAGAAGCTCTTAATGTATCTATTTGAGAGATAGTTTTCCAATATGCATGTAAATTACATCCCTTATTACCATGACCAACATGATGCTATCAGTGTAATTTGGTGCATCATGGTGAGGACAGACTGATGGGCTAATAACACCGCAGCTACATGCTTCCTGTGCCTGGATGTGTGATCAACTCCAGAACCAGTCACAAAGACAATGATGAAATCTGGAGAATGGTACTGGAGAATGCTTCAAGACAGACACATGTCCACTCCAATACAAGCAATTTACAGTGAAGGACACTAAGTGTGCAGTAGTTTGATTATGACACATACAGAAGTTTTATGGAAATGTTGAATATATTTGAATAGGTATGTGAAGACATCTGCGGGTTGGTGAGTGCAGTCATTGAACACATGGTCAGTGCTGCCATCTGGACGAGTATGTCTGTGAAGACTCACCTTTCATTGCAGTCAGCCTGGGTCACCTGAAGGATGAGCGGTATTTACATAGGACCTACAGCCTATGCTTCAAATTGTGAAGAACTGAAATTTAAAAGGATACTTCACCA